AATCCCTCTCATCTGTAGGGCAACCATATGACCTGGTTTACCTGTGGGTATTTAAGGTTATGCCTATAATGTAATTATTATAAACACTCAGTTTTGAAATCTAGGAAGTACGGCTGTAAGTAGAATTATTTTTGATTGCGCAGTGTCTAGCATGTAGTAAATATTTGACATACATTTGCTTTAAACTGGTTTGTTTGCTTTTAGAATAGTTGCTGCTAATTCTAGTCATCATACAGTTAAGAACACTGGGCTGTGTACATCAGAAATTTGACTGTAGATTGTTAGGAAAATGCATTGCACAAACACACACTGAAAGTGCTCACACATACATATTAGAAAATAAAGGTTGTAGATTTCAATCAGTCACTGAAAAACAAAGCATTTCTTAACCACATGACTTAAGAATAGGTATTTTGTTTTTGTTTTTTTGAGACAGTCTTACCCTGTCGCCCAGGCTAGAGTGCAGAGGCGTGATCTGGGCTCACTGCAACTTCTGCCTCCCGGGTTCAAACAATTCTTCTGCCTCAGCCTCTTGAGTAGCTGGGACTGCAGGCATGCGTCACCACACCCAGATAATTTTTTATATTTTTGGTAGAGATGGGGTTTCACCATGTTGGCTAGGCTGGTCTCTTGGTGGCTCACACCTGTAATCCCAGCACTTTGGGAGGCCCAGGCAGACGGATCACTTGATGTCAGGAATTTGAGAATAGGTTTTAAATGGAGAAAATAATTCACGTGCACATTTTTCTAGGATTTCTCATTGTACATTGGATCGAAGATGGCTTTAGGCATGTTATTTTAGAGCTTAATGATTTTATAGGATTCTCAGTCTTGCTTGATTTTCCAGTACAATTCCCCTGGTCATAGTTCTGCCTCTGGAAATTGATTGCTTTGTTTGATTTCAGTATTTGCCATCATGACTCCATTACCCTAAGATGGTGGCCTTTTGTTAAAGATGCTGGGGGCACAGGATGCTTAGCGTAGCTGTAAGGGAAGACCTTTATGTCCACCTGGTAAGATAGTCCTGTGCCCCGGCTACTCTCACTCTGGTGCTTCTGTTCATTCTCCTTGCTAAGTTTTCACTTGTGTACCATTGCTTCTGATTTTACTAACTTAATTCCTTTATTTCTATTAGCTAAACTTGATGCCTCTTCTACCCTCTGAATAGGTTATTCCTCTGAAATTACACTAGAATCAGTATTTACTAACCTCAACAGCCATTTCCAAAATCAGTGCCTCTTAGGGCTTTAGCTCTGTAGGGGTGTGTGTTCATGATATGCTTGGTCTCTTGGGAGGATTCAGAAAATGTATTCAGGAATGTAGAACACTCCCTCGCATGCCTTGGCAATGTGGTATTAATAGAATCCTATGTTAGGCAAGTTGAGTTACATGATGCTTTTTAAATCCAAGAATTTCAGGAAGGATAATTGGGCTTAGAAAGATACTTATTCTCTGCCTGTTTCCCATCACTCTTTCCCTGCTTCCCTCTCCTCCTAGAACAGAATGTTAGAGTGAAAGCTATACCAACGCAGGCTTGGAATCGATGGGGCCTACCAAAGCATTCCCACTGTCTGTGTTAATTCCATTTCTATCCTTACACAATTACTAAATTTCTTCTCTCCTTTAACTAAATTCAAATCTATTTCTAAGGGAAGCGAAGTCAAAATGGTTCAAAACAAAACCCTAAGAACTCCAGAGATACAAAATGTGCTAGGTTGCCCTCCCAGTAGCCTTGCCAGGAGATGTGGCTGCTTCGCCTTCACGGCCTGTGGGTCCACGCCTGAGCGCTGTTCTCCACAGATCGTGCACCTGGGAAGAAGTTCAGTGATGAGCAGAAAACGAAACCAGCAGATACTCAGCCTGTCAACCATGAAATGCTCAGACAAAAGACCAAGGAAAGTGGCTTACAGCTCTCCTAAGTGGTCAGGTTTTTCCCTGTGTGTTTTGAAGGAGTTGGCTGGTTTCTAGGCTACTTTTTGCCTTGTGCATTCTACTTGTTTGTGTAGGGCCGGCTGTTATATGCATACACACTGTGTGCGTGCGGGTGTGTATCTAGTGGAAGGTGCTTACGTTTTAAACAGCTCCTTTAATGGTGTGACTCATGCATGGCCACGATCACCTGTTTTCCAGACTGCTGCAACCCACGCAAAAGCTGCCGCGTTCAGTCTCCAAGGAGACTCTCAGGCCAGTTACCTTGGCAATGCGTTCCCTGCCAGTGAGTCTGATAATCTCGGGGTTGAAGAATTCACCGTGGCACACTTTGCCAATAGCTTAATGACTCATAGCTTTTCTATGGACTTATTTCCAATGATTTCAGAAATTGAGAGTCTTTCCTGTCTAGAGTTGTTTTCGTTTTGTGATGCTAGACTGACAGTTTGAAAGAAAAAGAGAAATTTTTGAATTGGAGCATTTAATAATTCTTCTTCTTAATAACAGGTCAAGTGATTGGTCAGAATGTTTAACCGAGACTACAGTGAAGGCCATCCTTCCAGAAGTGATTTTTAAAATATGGCTTACAGTTGATACCATGGCCCTCTGATTTGTCCTGTCCACTCTCTTCCTCGTAAAGCAAACAAATTGAACATTCTGAAATACAGATCTGGTCATGTCACTCTTATACCTCCAAATAAAGTCCAGACATCTTAGCATGGCCTACAGGACCCTTCCTGATTGGGCCTCTGTCCACCTCTCAGGCTGATACCATCCTCACACCCTGCGCTTTAGCCACAACCTCTCAGCCCAGATCCCTTCCTCCTCCACCCCCACATTTTGTGACACCTCTTCCTGTGCCTCACCATGCCACAGTCTCCTACTTGAACTTGAGAATCTACTAAGACAGCATGTCCTGTGGACATTCTTTCTAAGAGGGTACTCCTGCCATATGGTCTCACAGAACCTTGTGTTCACAGCCCTTCCCACCCGTGCTTTATCTACTGGCTTATATGTCTGTCCAGTCCCGTAAGAGTGAAGAAACCTGCTGTTTCATGTCAAGAGCTACGTCGTGGTCAAAAGCGTAGGGAAGCTTGTAGGACTAGAAGCCTGGAAATGTGAGGTCCTTACCTGGCCCAAGAATGGCTCATGATTTCTTACTCTTCCTCCATCCATCACCTTCCTCTTGGCAAATAGGAATAATTTTTGTGGAGACTCAGCCTTTCCCCATTTCTTCTTCTACTCTCAAAGGGTGTGGTAGACAGAGTATATCCAAATATAAGTGACTTTCCCTTCTACAGAATAATAACATTATTTAATCATTATACAGCTCTCTTTAGACAAGGGAGATTTTAGAATATGGGTCGGGAAACTTTTTCTATAAAGGGCTACAAACTATCTCTGTCTCTTGTCTTTGTTTTTGTTTAGTTCTATAAACCTTAAAAGAAAATAAAAACAGTATTTTTAGTGAAGAGGCCACAAGAGGCTTTAGGGCATAATATCAATGTTGGGGTATTTAATGGCACATAAATAAAGGACTCCATCCCTCTTACTATCCTGTGTCTTACAATTGCACGGTCTTTCTCAATTTGGCAGTTGTGTGGATGTAACCTCTGGCCCTAGCACTGTCTACTGTTAACTTTTCTTTGCTTCCTTCCTCTCTCCTCAAGTTTCTAGTTGGCCTGTCATGAGCATTTCTGTTCCTTCCACCCCCTTCTCCTGGGACTTATTTGAACTGTTAAAGACACTAGACTTCCTGACTTCCTTTGGACATTTATTTATTTTAAATTAGGTGAAAGAGACACAACCAAAAATTATTTTTATAAGCAAGTTTTTCCTTTTTCTGAGTATTCCCATTCCACTTTACTGAGTGAACTCTCTAAGAAAGGATTTATTATGTGTTTGCAATAAACATGTCCCTGAAAATTAAATTCTTCCTTAGCCCTATCTGTCACTTTTGTCACCTACCTGGATTTTAATACTTTCTGGTAGGCTGGGGAGAGAAGTTAATCTGGATATTAGGAATGTGTTCCCCATAAAGTTGTCTGTTTTCTTCATCTGGCTCTGTTCCTCTATGAGGAACCCCATAATAATAACTTGGACACAAAATAATTTCTCCACAGAAAAATCACGTTTCCTCAATAAGGAAGAAAAGTCTAATGCAAGTTCATAAAGTGTTCACCAATGAAAAGATAATGTGGTAAACGGTCTCTTGAAAGGTTTAGATAATATAAAAATTAGCATTTCTGCCATAAACTACGGACTTTAGTTAATATATCAATTTTTTATTAATTGTGGCAAATGTACTATACCAATGTAAGGTTTAATAATAGTTCAATATGGTAACTCTGTTTCATGGTCAGTTTTTTGTAAATCTTCAAGTGCTCTAAAAAAGTAAAGTTTATTAGTAAAAAAAAAAAAAAAAAAAAAAAAAAATTCACCCAACTGTATTATTTTGCTGAGGTTGCTGTAACAAAGTGCCATAAACTGAGTACCTTAAACAGTAATTTATTGTATTACGGTTCTGGAGCCTGTAAGTTCAAGATCAAGGCTTCAGTGGGGTTGGTTTCTCCTGAGAACGGAGAGAGAAGGATCTCCTCAGGCTTCTCTCCTCACCTTGTAGATGGCTGTCTTTTCCCTGTGTCTCTTCACACTGTCTTCCCTCAATGAATGTCTCTGTGTCCAAATTTCCATTTCTTTAAGGACAGAGTCATGTTGGATTAGCATCCCCCCAGTGAACTGAGTCTAACTTGATCACCTCTGTAAGGACCTATCTCCAGATAAAGTCACATTCAGAGGTGCTGGAGATTAGGACTCCAACCTGTGAATTTGGGGAGAGAGACAGAGTTCAACCCATAATGCTAACCTTCCCCCAAAAACTAGCACTTTGGTAACGCCTACCATTTTTCCAAGCATGTTTCCACACATTACCTCTTTAATTTTGTCTTGTCTTTTGTCTGCATTTGTGTCGGTTCTGCTCTTCCACAGTGACAGCCAGCAGCTGCAGCTTCTCTACCTGGAGTGCATCCTGTCTGTGCTCAGCAGCTCCTCCTCCTCCATGCACCTGCACAGGCGCTTCACGGACCTGATCTGGTGAGCACCCACTCCTGACGCCCCCATGCTGACACTAACCCAAGGGCTTCTGCTGGCTGTGTCTCTGGGTCCCTCTCCATGAAGTCCATGACCCACCAGTAGTAGTTTCATCTGTGCATAAATGTCATAGAGAGAAAGCAGGGAAATTGTGGCCAGGTACAGTTGCTCATACCTGTAATCTCAGCACTTTGGGAGGCCGAGGCGGGCAGATTGCTTGAGGCCAGGAGTTCGAGACCAGCCTTGGCAACATGATGAAACTTAGTCTCTACTAAAAGTATAAAAATAGCTGGGCATGGTGGTTGTGGGCACCTGTAATCCCAGCTTCTTGGAAGGCAGAGGCATGAGAATTGCTTGAACCCAGGAGGTGGAGGTTGCAGCGAGTGGAGATCAAGCCACTGCACTCCAGCCTGGGTGACAGAGTAAGACTATCAGAAAATAATAATAATAATAATAGTAATAATAATAATAGGCCAGGTGCAGTGACTCACACTCCCAGCACTTTGGGAAACCTAGGTGGGCGGATCACAAGGTCAGGAGTTCGAGGCCAACACAGTGAAACCCTGTCTCTACTAAAAATACAAAAATTAGCTGAGTGTGATGGTGGGCGCCTGTAATCCCAGCTACTTGGGAGGCTGAGGCAGGAGAATCACTTGAACCTGGGAGGTGGAGATTGCGGTGAGCTGAGATCGCGCCATTGCACTCCAGTCTGGGTGACAAAGCTAGACTCTGTCTCAAAAAATATATAATAATAATAATAATAATAATAATAAAGCAGATAAATTGTTTTGTTGACATCCATCAGACCAAAATCTGCAGAAAAACCGATGATGATTATGGCAGAATATGCTTCCAAGGCCCTCTTTGGTTTATATCATAGGATCATGAGATACCAGCACCAGAAAATTTTTCTGCGTTTTCAGCTCGTTCAAAAAGCAGATAACTTATGCAGGGAGCAAGAGATACTGAGCTTTACTCCTAGCCCTAGCTCCATCTCAACCCGAATACTAGTCTCTTAATCATAGTCAGAGATTCCCAGAAGTGACAGGCCCCGCAGGCAGGCAGCTGCTTGTTCTGGATCCCTGGGCTTATCGACAGGAAGGAAGCCAAATGGCAGGTGTCAGTGTGGAATTTGCAATTAACTTCTCAAATGGTAAATAATTTTGTTATTTATAGTAATATGAAACTTTATAACAGCCATTTCGCATTTTGAGTCCATTTCTTCACTTATGATGGTTTCTTAATGCTTCTCTTATATATTATTTCATTCATGCTAGCTCAATTTATGAGTAAAAGTATTGTTGAAATACCCAGAAATGTTAGAGAGACTTAGAAAACGGGCAAAATGTAGCCAAAAGAAGAAGCAGTAAAGAGCCCCACTCTTGTCATTTCTGCAGCATCTGTTTACTCGCAGAGTAAATGTTATCATTTGTCTTGTGGGGAAACTTACTTTTCTCACCATCTCTTCCCAGGAAAAACCTCTGCCCTGCTCTCATCGTCATCCTGGGGAATCCAATTCATGACAAAACCATCACCTCTGCTCACAGCAGCAGCACCAGTACCAGCCTGGAGTCGGACTCTGCATCTCCAGGAGTGTCTGATCATGGCCGGGGATCAGGCTGCTCCTGCACTGCTCCAGCCCTGAGCGGGCCCGTGGCTCGGACTATCTATTACATTGCAGCCGAGCTGGTCCGGCTGGTGGGGTCCGTGGACTCCATGAAGCCCGTGCTGCAGTCCCTCTACCACCGAGTGCTGCTGTACCCCCCACCCCAGCACCGTGTGGAAGCCATCAAAATAATGAAAGAGGTGAGAAGGCACTGGAGATCGCCACCAGGTTTACAAGGTTTACAGGTTACAAGTTTCGCATACAAGAAACGCTCAGAAAAGGCTTGTCAATCACTTGCCAGAACTTCATTGCTGCCTCATGGTGTCCACTAACGAATGCTGTGTCTAGAGTCTGTGAGTGTGAACGTGTATTGCGAACCTGGGTGAGAGGGGTCAGTGATGTTCAGTGATGCAAAACCATTTGAGAATCGAGCTAGTGCTTGGTAAGACTCTGTTAGATGTGTACCTGACCAGGCCCATGCTGAGATTTCATTCTTCTACCTTAGGTGCTGTTTGTGCAGATATATGTGTTTATTCGCCTTTGCCAACATTAGATTTCAAAATGATTTTATACTCAGGTGGCACATTATCCCAAAAAAAAGAGTTTTGCCAGTCTCTGCTAAGAGGAATCCTTTGTTCCATTCTTTTGCCTCATTTCTCCCAAATGTCACGACCCCAGCGAGAACATAAAGGTTGTCCAGATTGCAGTAGCCATCCCAGTGTGCTGCTTCATAGTTTTGAGGCAGAATTAGGCTTATTTTTGAAGGTGCTTCAAACAAAGATTCCTCTGCCTTCTCTCAGAAAACCAAAAGGAAAAGTCATCAGTGTTTTTGTATTTGTGAATCTGATCATAAAGGTCCAATTGCAACATTGCATTTCCTTTTGGTATCTCACCCCTGCAAAAACCAGAGTAGCAAAATTCCCTTGTTGATGATTAATTTATTTTAAGCAATCATTGCCGCCAACCAATATCTGAGAAGTTAAATTTGAATTCTTTCTTGGTGTTTTAATGAGATTTTATTGTTATGACTATTGGAAAGTTCTGACCCACTATTTCTAGAAATTAAGGAGTGGCCCAGATTTCATGGCTGTTAAGAAAATCTATGAGCCCATGATAATATTTACCATTCTTTTTCTTGCCTATTATATGCCAGGTACTTCACATATATTATTTTTATTATTCATAATAAATTTGTGAGGTTGTATATCAACTTTTATTTATTTATTTATTTCGAGACAGGGTCTCACTCTGTTGCCCAGGCTGGAGTGCAGTGGCACAATCACGGCTCAATGCAGCATGGACCTCCTGAGTTCAAGTGATCCTCCTACCTCAGTCTCCTGAGTAGCTGGGACCACAGGTGCATGACACCACACCTGGCTAATTTTTGTATTTTTTGTAGAGACATGTTGCCCAGGCTGGTCTCAAACTCCTGAGCTCAAGCAATCCGCCTGCCTCAGTCTTCCAAAGTGCTAGGGTTACAGGTATGAGCCACTGTGCCCGGCCATCGACTTTATTTTTACCAATTAAGAATGTTACTTCTTTTCCCCACCAGACCTTCAGGCAATGGAGATCAAAAGGCCAGCTTTAAGAACTGATCTTCACTAGATGGGCAGATATAATACAACTTTGGAGGCCGGTGAGACTAGACCACTCTTCACCACTCAGACAGCAGTGGCCCTTCCCCAGGGTCCTCCCCTATACCTGTTCAACTTGCATCCTGGAGGGGCAAGCATGGGCTTCCTCTGATTAGCAGATCCCCAGGAAGATGGGAGAGAAAGGGGCTAGCAAGGCATGCTCAGCTCCTTATCCTAAATTCACTGTTCTGATCAGGGGCTCTTCCTATACCTGGAAGAAATGAGAGGAAAGGAGAAGAGAGGCCTAGAATTTTACTGCACTGGATGTTCCTCCTCATAGAAATGTGATGCCAGAGGAAAAGGAAATTCCCTCCCACAAAGAAACTTAGGCTTGAGGAGGTCAAATGGTTTGCCCAAAGTCCCAAAGAAAAAGAAGGTGCAAACCCTGGACCCACTGACCCTAATCCCATGGTCTTTTGCTGTATCATTCTTATCACTGGACTTGACTCTCACATTGCAGTGCAGATGACCCCCAGCAGCCCGTTTCTTGGTGTTGGTTCTGCTGCCCATTTCAGGAGCCTGAGTTTAAGAGTCAGGGTTCGACAATGAGATCACCTGGACTCGGGAAGGGGAACATCACACACTGGGGCCTATTATGGAGAGGGGGGAGGGGGGAGGGATTGCATTGGGAGTTATACCTGATGTAAATGACGAGTTGATGGGTGCTGATGAGTTGATGGGTGTAGCACACCAACATGGCACAAGTATACATATGTAACAAACCTGCACGTTATGCACATGTACCGTAGAACTTAAAGTATAATAATATAAAAAAAAAAAAAAAGTCAGGATTCGAATCCTCTTTCTGCCACTCACTGACTATGTGATATAGGTAAATCATTTAACTCTGAACTTAAAAGTTTTCTCATGGGTACCTTGTTATAATATTCCAAAGGTTGCAAATTCAAAATGCACTAAAGTTTGCCTAAGTACTTTGTAAGTATCAAGTGCTAAACAAATATGTGGTGTACTTATTGCTCTTGTAAGGAAGAGAAAAAACATATGGAGGCTGAAAATAGTTGGTTCAGTTCTAGCTGGCCTCCCTCTCCTGCCTGTTTTATTCCTTTTGTCTTACTGGATTTATGTCCATAAATCACCACTGTTAACAATTTTCCCATGGCCCAGGGCACTCTAATGGCTCTTCATTTGACTCTCCCATCAAGGCTGAGTTACTGTGCCCAACTTCTAGAGCCTTCTTCCATCATTTGCATTTTCCATCACTTCCCAGGATGCACCTTCATCCCATTGACTTCTTTGTTCAATTCCCACCTCCTCGCCTCTTCAGGGTTTCCTGTCCCTTAGTCCTGTGGGCCACTCCCCCCTCACAGAATTGAGTGGTTAATTGCAACAGGCTAGACATTAGCTTATTTACAAACTCCCTTAGGAAGATAATATTATGCCCATTTTCCAGATGGGAAAGCTGAGGCTCTGGGGGGAGAAGTCACTTGCCCAAAGTCCTTCACGTTGTGAGTCGTAAGGCTAAGATGGTGAAGCCTGATGTTTTAAGTATGGCTGCTTCTTTGCTATCAAAATCCTTGTCCTTCACGGCTGGGCTTCCTCAGACCACTGATCGTGTTCTTCTTTAAATTCCATCCCGCCATTTAGCAATTGATTATACGCCCCATCACACTGATTGTTTCACAATAGAATGGGGAACAAGCTTCTTGTCTCCTCAACTAGACTTTTCTGTGTAGATTGCTTCTGTATGTTTTCCCCTAGTATTTAACACTATAATGCTTGAATCAGAATAAGTGTTTAGCAACTTTTGACTGACTGACATGTGGACCTGAAGACAAAATGTCTACAAAGAGGCTATTTTATAAGCAGCGGCAACCTTTCTTTTCCCCTCAGAAATGACAGGCACTAGAGCAGTCACTGCCCACAGTAGAGCCGCTTGATACCTGGATGCTAAGTACATACTTTGCGTATGGCATACGTAAGTCTCTAAATGTGTTTTAAATAATTTGCTTTGTACTACAAAAGGAAGTTAGTTATGTTTTTCTGTTCAACATACATGTTCTATCTTCCCAAGGTCATTTTGCAGAGGTGATGCTAGAATTTGATGGTAGTACCCAAGTAGCACGTCCAGGCAGTGCTGCCCCAAGGAGCCCAGCAGACTAATTGGGGCCAAGATGTTCTAAAAAGCAGCACCTCCACTTTATACGACAAAATCAATCATTTGGGAAAGTTGGTAACCTAGATACCAAAATGTGCAGGGCTTGTGCACACAAAGAAAATCACTGGGTTCCCAGGATGTTTGTTTAGCCTTTTGGAGCTTGTACGCTTGGTGTGTTATTTCCCTGTTCTAGTTTTAGTTTGTCACTCTGCCATATGCAGTGTGTGCCTATTGATCAAGGACATACAGGACATCTTTGGTTTTCAAAGCACAGCCCCTTTTTTGTTTCTGATTTCCCCTTAAAATGAACAGTAATGAAAAAGTACAGCTTGCTTCCTTTTCTCTCCTATGGCTCAGCTTTAGAAGTTTCCTAGTCTTTATCAGACCTCTGGCACCCCAGCCACAGATCCCACAACTCTCATTCCCACCTGAAGAAGCTGAGATTAAAACATCTTTCCTTTTAGTATTTGTCAAGGGTTCTCCAGAAACCTTATCAATCCCTCCCTTTCCCTCCAGATTCTGAAGCAATTGAGAAATAAGCACAAGATTAATGTGGGAATTAAAATAGATTATCTTGGGAGGCCAAGATGGGCGGATCACCTGAGGTCAGATGTTCAAGATCAGACTGGCCAACATGGTGAAACCCCGTCTCTACTAAAAATACAAAAAAATTAGCCTGGCGTGGTAGCACATACCTGTGGTCCCAGCTTCTTGGGAGACTGAGGCAGGAGAGTCTCTTGAACCCAGTAGGCAGAGGTTGCAGTGAGCCGAGATTGTGCTGCTATACTCCAGTCTGGGTGACAGAGCAATATTCCATCTTTAAAAAAAATTAGTGAATTTATTAACAGTGAATATCTAATTTATTACCGGTGAAGCTGAATTTTAAATTGTGGTAGAATCCCAGGAGACAGTGAGGTTTTCCACTCCATCTTTTGGAAATGCACTTATCCTTCCAGCAAGAGATGGAGCATCCTGAGGCTCAGAGGGTCCAGCCACGGGGCTGCAGGCCTGTAGAGGGGGGGTGAGAGAGAGAGAGGGAAAGAGAGAGCCTGCCAGACTTTAGCCCCAGCATTGTCACTCTTTTTTTGATGTCAACAAAAAGTGGAAGCTTCATTTCTATTCCTCCCGGAGAGCAGAAATGTTCAATTTCTGTGGTAAGAAAGAAATATGGAGAGAGGGAAAGAGGAGAGTCACTTAAAATACAGCTTCTTCTGTGTAATGGACCTTTTCCTGCTTTGCTTGGAGTATCAATCACTTTGAAGATGAATGGACATACGGTGGGATGTCTGCTGCAGACACACTGCATTAACCATCTTTCTTTGAATCAATTTAGCCTTGAGTTGACATCTTCTATAGACTTCTACCGTATGTATATAAAAATGAGTTAGAAATGAACAATTATGAACAGTCTACATATGAAAACTTGTGAGAAGCAGTAAATGGGAAGATATGTATAGCTTTAACTCCTTATATTGAAAAACAGAAAACCTTAATGTCCTAATTCTCCAGCTTAGTTAGAAAAAAAAGAATAGAATAAATTCAAAGAAAGTAGAAAGGAGGAAAAATAAGGATAAAAGAAGAAAGTAATGTGACAAGGAAATATAGGGGATTTTAAAAAGCAGAAAATGTTAGGACTGAAAAGATCAAGAAAGTTGAAAAACTTTTCTCAAGAGCAATAAAAAAATTTCAAAACAGGTACAAATGAACAGAAATAAAAATGAAAAAATACCTAACTATAGATGTTACACACATTAAAGAAATAAAAGAGGGTATTAGAAAACCAGGTAAAATGGATAAGTCCCTAGGAAATAATGCAACTTTTAAAAAGTTGGTTCAAGAAGAAATTGAGGACCTGAATAGTCCTATAATCTTTAAAGAAATGGAGGAAGTAGTTGAAGGATTCCTATTAAAATTCTGGCCCCATGTAGCTTTAGAAACAAGTTATACAAGCATTCAAGGAACAGGTAATTCCAATCTTCCATGAACTTTTTCCGTGATGAGAAAGAGGGCATACTTCTCCACCCAGTTTATGAAGCTAGCCAACCTGGTACCAAAAGTAGACAGAAAGAGTCCAGGAAGGTTATATTAAAGGCCAATCTTACTAAAGAACAGAGATCCAAGTGTTTTCTAGTTCTGTGCTAGAAAAGATTTTTCAACAATCCCTCTGAGAATTTTCTTTGTCTAAGCCAGCGCTGAGCTGAGGAGCCAGGAGCCTGATACACACCATATGTCAAGAAGAAAACCTAAATCAGTCTTACTAAGATTGGAAGTTCCAAATAGTTGCGTTTCTCCTTATACTATATCACTCAGTAGGGAAAGTACATGTTTATTTGATCTCACAATTTAACAACCTTGTGCTTTTTTGTGATACTTACTTTTCTGTCACTCTTTTACCTTTTTCTTTAAGATACTCGGGAGCCCACAGCGTCTCTGTGACTTGGCAGGACCCAGCTCCATTGAATCAGAGTCCAGAAAAAGATCAATTTCAAAAAGAAAGTCTCATCTGGATCTCCTCAAACTGTATGATATTTATCCTTTTAGGTCTTTATTGAGGCTGCTTTTCTGAAGACTTTTAACTTTGCTTGCAAATCCCTGAGATTTTAAAAAATTCTACATTGTATGAAATGTGTCTATTTAATAATTCACCCACAAGCTACATGAGAAGACGTACCTCAATTTATTATAATCATGGAACTTTGTATATTTTCATATTGTCTTAAAACCAAATGTACCAAGTGAAATGTATAATAATTATTCATTGGGATTTTTTTAGAGAAGAACTTTTGACTTGCAATACTGTAGCTATAGGATTTCTTCACATGTAGCCCCCCTAGAAAACTGAATATTATAGGGCTCGTAATAGTTGTATTCACATACATCTGTTCAGGAATATGTTTACTTTATAGAGGAAGGTCCACATTATCATATAACCATTATCACTATTTTCTATTTGAAATACCGAGCATAATACAAAAGTGAGATTGTTCGGGAAGGTCATAAATGCTCATCGGGAGCTTCTATTTGTACCCAGGTAAACCAGCAAGCCAAGAGGGAGGGTGATTCAATGCAGACCCCCCCTTTTTTTTTTTGACAGAGTCTTGCTCTGTCGCCCAGGCTGGAGTGCGGTGGCGGGATCTCGGCTTACTGCAACCTCTGCCTTCCAGGTTCAAATGATTCTCCTGTTTCAGCCTCCCCAGTAGCTGGGATTACAGGCACACACCAACCACACCTGGTTAATTCTTTGTATTTTTAGTAGAGATGTGGTTTCATCTTGTTAGCCAGGCTAGTCTCAAACTCCTGACCTAAAGTGATCCACCTGCCTCAGCCTCCCAAAGTGCTGGGATTGCAGACATGAGCCACCATGCCTGGCCAATGCAGGCCACTTTATCTGAAGATTTTTCTCTGCCCACCTAAGCATGTTTGTTTCCTTTATTTATTGCCCGGACCATTTTGCTTTATGCAAATCAGACTATCCGTTTTGAATACTATGCTGTTAGTCAGTCTAACACTCTTGTTCCTTTCAGAGATATTTTCTATATTTTATGCATTTGTTCCATTTTCTCTTTTGAACACTGTTTAGCATCATGGATGGCATGACCGAAGCATGCATCAAGGGTGGCATCGAAGCTTGCTATGCAGCCGTGTCCTGTGTCTGCACCTTGCTGGGTGCCCTGGATGAGCTCAGCCAGGGGAAGGGCTTGAGCGAAGGTCAGGTGCAACTGCTGCTTCTGCGCCTTGAGGAGCTGAAGGATGGGGCTGAGTGGAGCCGAGATTCCATGGAGATCAATGAGGCTGACTTCCGCTGGCAGCGGCGAGTGCTGTCCTCGGAACACACGCCGTGGGAGTCAGGGAACGAGAGGAACCTTGACATCAGCATCAGTGTCACCACAGACACAGGCCAGACCACTCTCGAGGGAGAGTTGGGTCAGACTACACCTGAGGACCACTCGGGAAACCACAAGAACAGTCTCAAGTCGCCAGCCATCCCGGAGGGCAAGGAGACGCTGAGCAAAGTATTGGAAACAGAGGCGGTAGACCAGCCAGATGTCGTGCAGAGAAGCCACACAGTCCCTTACCCTGACATAACTAACTTCCTGTCAGTAGACTGCAGGACAAGGTCCTATGGATCTAGGTATAGTGAGAGCAATTTTAGTGTTGATGACCAAGACCTTTCTAGGACAGAATTTGATTCCTGTGATCAGTACTCAATGGCAGCAGAAAAGGACTCGGGCAGGTCCGACGTGTCAGACATTGGGTCGGACAACTGTTCTCTAGCCGATGAAGAGCAGACCCCCCGGGACTGCCTAGGCCACCGGTCCCTGCGAGCTGCCGCCCTGTCTCTCAAACTGCTGAAGAACCAGGAGGCGGATCAGCACAGTGCCAGGCTGTTCATACAGTCCCTGGAAGGCCTCCTCCCTCGGCTCCTGGCTCTCTCCAGTGTGGAGGAGGTGGACACTGCTCTGCAGAACTTTGCCTCTACTTTCTGCTCAGGTCTGTAAACAATTCTCTGCTGTATAGTCAACAAGATTATTCAGAGCAGTTTGCCTTAATGGGCAATTACTATCATGCTTATAGTTTGAAGTGCTCAAAGCATATTAATGAATCTTTGGGTTTCCCCAGTTTAAAAAGGGCAAAGACATCTAAGACCTATTAGTGGTGGTTTATTTGAATTCTACAGCAGTCGATGGCTGGAATATACTATGAGACTGATAAATGTATAGGATGTAAAGTAAAGAATGAGAAGTAGCTGCATTCTAGAAAGGTGCTACTGATAGAAACAACCTGACAGTCTGTAATTCTTAAAACACTGAATTATCAGTATGCTTCTATGTCTTGGTGTCTAAAATTCATAGAGCAATGTACTTTTGGCGTATCAAAAAGTAAACTATTTTGAATGCTGTCTTGGATCAGTTGCACTCCAAGTCCTCCCAATATCTTCTGAATTCTACTGAACATTCGAACAATGTGTGATAGTCCAGTATAGCTTGGTAACATTGCATTCCCCCATCTCAGACCCTTCCGTATGTTGAATTGTGAATCAGACCATAAACAGTGGTGCTGGGGGAATAGTGGCCAAATTACATCAGAGAATCATGCTGGTATTATTGAAGGGAAGGAGAGAATCACTTAGAGTTTTGGTGGAGGAAGCAGACAAAGAATACAGGGAAGTAGTAGCATTTCACATACTAAATAATTATTTTTAAGACAGTTTTCTTGAAAGATAATACAGAAAGAAAGCAATTAATGGGTACATAAAATGTATGGTAGGAATAAATGTTTGTGTGATACCAGGGAGGTCATCTGTACGTTTCCCTCAAATACAAGTGTCTCTTGACCACAGAATACTGAGGTGAATGAATCTCCCTAAGCCTGTGCTCAGATCCAAAGGGCTGACCCTGAGAACTGACACAGAACTGCTAAAAAGCCATGATCACTTGCTCGTCTACCACCTAACCTTGAACTTGTGTTTGTCATTGTGCTTGCTGCATTTATCATAGTCATTTGTTAATGCATCCACCATCCCTTCCACCCTCCCCTCTCTATACTCCGTGCTTTTTGAGGGCTGAGACCTTGTCTCACTTTTTATTTTCTAACAAAGAAAACTTCACACACATACATGAAAAAATTGTAGCCCAGTTACTGGAACTTGGTTAGAAGCTGACAGATGTGTAGCTTAATAAGTATCTTTAAGAAGCTGACAAATTGTCCTTTTTCAAGAGGACAAGTAAAAGACACTTAAAAATCTCCGTATATATGAGGAGGAACTTTTTTTTTTTTTTTTTGAGACGGAGTCTCACTCTGTCACCCAGGCTGGAGTGCAGTGGCGCAATCTCGGCTCACTGCAAGCTCCGCCTCCGAGGTTCATGCCATTCTCCTGGCTCAGCCTCTCAAGTAGCTGGGACTACAGGCGCCCATCACCAAGCCCGGATAATTTTTGTATTTTTAGTAGAGATGGGGTTTCACTGTGTTAGCCAGGACAGTCTTGATCTCCTGACCTTGCGATCCACCTGCCTTGGCCTCCCAAAGTGCTGGGATTACAGGCGTGAGCCACTGCCCGGCCGGAACATTTTTTAATATGAGAATGATCCAAAGTTGTAGCAAGCACCAAAGGAGACACAGAATTTTCACTCCAGAAATTTTCACATGACCTAGAAAAAGATGTAAAGAGACATGATTTCTCTACTTTCCTAATTTTTTTTTTTTGGAGGCGGAGTCTCGCTCTGTCGCCCAGGCTGGAGTGCAGTGGCCCATCTCCACTCACTGCCCTAATTCTTATATCCTAAGAATTTCACACCCTATTTCCTAATTTCACACCAATTTTTAAGGCTCCCTAACATAACTTTTTTCCTCACCATTTTTTCTTTTGGAGATAAGTATAACAAATGTTGGATTTTTTTATTTGTGTGTGAAACAAAATTCATGTTTCATTGGAAGACTAGGAAAATGTATACTCTTCTTAAAAAATTATAGTTCTCCCTAATATCTTTTATACCACTGTCATTTGACATTCTCTTATTGAACATTCTAAGGGTATGTTTTGTGCATGTTTGTGTCTGTCTCTCTGTCTTTTTATCCATCTCTCTCTCCCTTTCTCTCTCTCTCTCTCTCTGTCAGACACACCCATGCAAATACTCCTTCAACCAGCATTTATAGAGAAGCTGAATTGTGCTATATGCTAAGGTCCCAGGATATGTACAGCTTATTCTCAATCAATATTTATTGATTGTAAATTGATGAAGTTGTTCTTTGGTCTCTCTTTCTTTTTTTTTTTTTGGAACAGGGTCTGACTCTGTTACCCAGGCCGAAGTGCAGTGGCTCAGCTTCCCAAGTAGCTGAGACTGTAGGCACCACCACACCCAGCAATTTTTTTTTTTCTTTTGTAGATATGGGGTATTGGCCAGGCATGGTGGCTCACACCTGTAATCCCAGCACTTTAAGAGGCTGAGATGGGTGGATTGCTTGAGCTCAGGAGTTTGAGACCAGCCTAGGCAACATGGTGAGAACCTTTCTCTACAAAAAAATACAAAAATTAGCCAAGCATGGTGGTACACCTGTTGTCCCAGCCCCTCGGGAGGCTGAGGTGGGGGGATCACTTGGGCCTGGGAGGTTGAGGCTCCAGTTAGCCATGTTTGCACCACTGCCCTT